GGCGGGGGGGTAGCCTTAGACTCCCTACTCTAGAGAGCCTGGGGTTGACTCAGTGCAAATTCCTGGCCTCAGTTAACTATTACGTAAAGTGAGGGCTTTGACTTTTGTCTGGAAGTCGTGAGCAGCGTGGGCTCCACAGAAAGAATCCCTGGTGTGACCCACCGTTTATTCACTGTGTGACATGGGACGTTCATTAAATTCTCTGCCTCCATTTCGTCTTCATCCGCAAAACCGAGATAACATTACCCGCTTCTCAGGCAGCTCCAACAAGCGACTGAGTGTATGCACGTGCACGCTTCTACTGTGACTATTCCAGAATGAGCCCAAGCCCCAAAGGGGCAAATGTCATCCTCTCTCTGGGCCTGTCTCCCCCTCTGTTCCCTTCCGCCCTGCCCCACCCCTGTCCTGGGGATTTAACCCAGGGCTTTCGAACTGTGCTACATTTCCAGGCCTTTTTTATTTTTAATTTTGAAACAGGGTCTCGTTGAGTCGCTAAACTGCCTGAACTCGAGATCCTCCTGCCTCAGTCACCCAGAAAGGTGGGAGTACAGGCCTGCGCCACCAAGCCTGGCCTATTCCTCTGTTAAAGGGACACACTAGCACCCCCAGCTCAGATTTGTTGGGCTGCCAAGTAGGCGGTAAAGCACTTGGCACACAGTAGGAGTTTAATCCGAGACTGCAGCACGGGCTCCGGGCTCCGCCCTCCCGCCCTCACCCCGAAAGTACCTCGGGAAGCACACACTCTTCCATTTTGCACGCCAGGAACAGACAGGCCACGCCCAGCAGCTGCAGGCGGCGTAGGCGCACTCGGCCCGCGCGCAGGTAGGAATCGAGCAGGTGCACGGCCAGGTAAAGCGTGTCCCCCGCCAGGCCCAGGTACTCCTGGGGAGGGGTACGGGTGACCACCACCACCGGGATCCCAGGCGGCGACATAGGTGCTCCTCACTCTCCCCGGTACTTACGTGCACCTGGACCAGCCAGTCCACCACTAGGGCGCGCATCTCCGGAGTCACGGTGCGGGGCAGGGCCCTCCCGGGCAGCGCGCGGCACACCTGGGGGTGGGCAAGTACCGCCTCACTCTCCACACCTGTGCCTCGGTCCTCTCTTCAGCTCCAGCCCTGGGTGCAACAGCCTCCTCCCGACAGTTGGACGTCTCCCCAGTGCCACAGTCAAACTGGCCTCCAGCTGTGTTCTGCCTCCCTGTCGCCGGACCTCGGACTTTGTTCTGGATGCCTCCCTACCCACCTCTCCACTGTGTGGCCCCCTGGGCATCCCCTGGCTCTGGATTTCCAAATTCCACTCTTGTCACCAACCCTTGGCCCCTTCCCTTAGGAGCACCTGGTAGCAGTCTATGCAAAGAAAGGTCTAACCAAGGAACTCCCTAGTTTAAAAGTCTTCCATGGTCCCCAGTACCCTTAGCGGGAAATCCTAATTCCTCTCAGACGCTCTCAGGCCCTGTCCCTAATCCAATGTCACCACTTCCCTCTCACTTTACAGTCCACATTTCAGCCACACCAGTGCTAAGTTCATTCTTGCCCCAGAGCCTTTCTACTAAGCGTTCTCTCAACCTGAACCGATCCTTCCTTTGTTCTTCCACATGCTTTCTCATTCAGGTCTCTACTAAAATCTCCTTTTGATACTCTCCACTCCATCTCTCTGTGTCCCCTCATTTTATCTTCACTCTGTTACCCTGGGTCTCCCTCTGTTTGGTCTGTTTGCTCTTAGCGAGGGTACAGACTTCCGGGAGCACAAGTTAGTCTCAGGTCCCCAAAGAGACCCCAGCCCAGGAGAGGCACTGGCAGATGTGGGTCGTCAGCGTCTCTTGAGGCAGATGTCTGAGGACTACCATGGCCTAATTTTTGGCCTTTGTGACCTTCTGTAATAAAGGATATATCTGCTTGTCTCCCTAAAATGAAGACAGATACTTGTAGCAGCTCCAGGGCCTAAGACATGCTCAAGAGCCTGTTATATTGCTGTTTCTTAAAGGAATAAATATGAGGCACAAATACAAGGGACTGTGAAATACCAAAGGGAGAGCTCCAGACACCCTGGAATCCGTGGGAAATGGCATTTCACTGAGTAGGGGAAAATAGAAAAGCCCAGAAAGCTGGGCAGTGGCACAAGCCTGCAATCCCAGCACTCTGGAGGGCTGAGGCAGGAGGATTTCGAGTTTGAGCCCAGCCATGGCAACTCAGTGGCTTTGCAAGAGCTGGGGGTGTAGTTAGTGAATGGTCTGGGTTCAATCCCCAGTATGGTAGTAGCAGGAAGAAAGGTCTGGAAGATGCGGGTAGGGAAGGGAGCCAGCTGGCAATGGGAGAGGAAGGGCTTGCTGAGTGGCTGTTGGGCGAGCTGCTCCCCAGGGCTGGCACCAGGGTTGCCGCTCACCATGACCTCAGCGAAGATGTCCCCAGCATACTCTCGTTCTCCCTCCAACCCCAGCGCACTCAGAGCCTCCTCTAGCCCTGGCGGCGCGCAAGGCTGTGGGGGCCTCTCCCGGCGTCCAGGGGAGACACTCATGCCCGCCGCGACGCCGTCGGCGACTGAGGCGCTCGGAGACTTTGGGTTGAAGGAGGAAGAGGGACCCTGTAAGGGAGAGGGGCTGGGAGTCAGTGCCTGAAGAGAGACCCGAACCGGGCCGGGAGCGCCCTGGCCCGTCTCTCACCAGCATTCTCCAGCCCGGCGTCGTGCGCGAAGCCAGGACCCGACGCTTGCAGCAGGAGGGAGGGACGCACTCCGGGCGCTTTGAACGCGCCTGGGCGCATGCGCACTGAGCTCCCGCGCACCGCGCTGGCTTCGCCTGGGCAGGCGCAAATGCAAAGGTGAATGTTGCGCAAGCAGGCAGGTCGGCCCCCTCGCCTCCTCCCGGCCCCCTAAATCAGCCAAATTCTTGTCCTGGCGCCTAGAAGAGGCCTCTGTTTCACCTTTCTCAATCCTAACATAGGAGTTGTTTCAAAATTTAGCCAATAGGGTTGTCCTGAGGATTTTAGAAGACTGTGTTGTGTTCAGCATTTAATTGTATCAGAGCCTGACACAGTAAAATAAAAACCAAAAAGCTCAAGACGTCAGAGCTATAAATCATGTAACGAGTATTTAGGGCAGGCCCCTGTGCACTGGATCACTTACCTTGACCGAGCCCACAGTGACTGAGACAGTGACTGGGATAAATCACCAAGATCAGTCTGGACCAGCGCAGTGGCCTCGGGTTGTTCTCCCTGCTCCCAGCCCCAAGCCTGGTCCCCACGTGCAGGCGGAGGGGTCCAGTGCACACCTGAGTCAAGTCGCACCTTCCTCCCATCAGAACACCATCTGGGTTCCCATATCCTTTAAGGTGAAGGCCCTGGGCTGGTGCGGTGGATGCACATCTGTAATCCCAGCACTCTGGGAGGATGAGGTAGGAAGATCACTGGTTCAAGGCCAGCCCAGGCAACTTAGCAAGACCCTGTCTTAAATTTTTAAAAAGGGCTGGGAATATAGCTCAGTGCGAAGTTCTTGGTTCAGTTCCCGATTAAGGGGGGGTGGGGGGTGGTAATTGAAGGCCTAGGACGTCTTATGTGTCTCCGCCACACACACAAACCTGAGCTCCTCTACCCTGACCCCACCCTCTCCCCTCCATCACATGGCTTCCTAGCTCCTCCTTACCCACACCAGATACACTCCTACCCCCAAGACCTTTGCACTGGCTCTTCCTCTGCCTGCTACTGTATGCTCTTCCCGCAGATAGTTTCCTTCCCAACCCTCCTTTCAGGTATTTACTCAGATGTTACCCTCCCCACAGAAAGGCAATCTTTGTCCTAAGGATGTCCTGTTCTCATCTCTGCACTTACTCTGTCCTTAGCACTTAACGGCTTTGTAACCAAGCATGTATGACTGTCCCCCTCTTGACTTGAATGTGAGACCCATGAGGACAGAGCTTTTTGTCTTCTTCCTCCACTGCCTATAACAGAGGGTGGCATGGTAGATGTTCAATAAAGTTTGTTGAATGAATGACTGAATGGGGTAGACATAATTTAGAGACGTTGGTCCATGAGGGTCTTTGTGAGACAATGACACTTAAGATGAAACCTGAGAAAGTGCCAGGACTGCAGAGGGGATACTGTCCCAAGTGGAAGGAAATGAATGAGCAGAGGTCCAGAGGTAGGAAACACTTGGTATTTGCACTGAGAGGTCAGTGCAGCTGGAAAGGTGAGCAGAACGATGCTGGGCCAGTGGCTTCCTGTCAAGCTTACCTTGGCCCCAGATGCTTCTCTTACCTGGCTCCCATCTGTTCTCACCCTCACTCCACTGGAGAAACCCTGGTCTCTCTGGCCCCTACAGGGTAGAAACCTAACCTGCAAGGGATCAGCCATGGCCACTGCAGGGGCAGATGTCACCATGCACTGTCTGCCTCACAGGTTGACTGGGACAGGCGCGGGGCAGGGGGCAGTTGTCACTGGTGAAAATTCTGCCAAAAATAGCTTGAAGACACAGAGACACAGCAGGCAAGAAGTCCTGATGCAGGAACAACCTGCAAAGTAACTGTCCTGTGAGTTTCCTACCCGACAGCCAGATCCATTGTGAGCACCTGGGCTGAGCCCTTAGCCAAAAGGGTAGTTTTTAATATACAGATGTTACTTGTGTTAAGTAAAATGTGACTAAGGTCTGTAGAGGAGTATGGTGTAGGTGTTGGCTTTATGACCCTGGTAACTGGACCTCAGGTGTGGAAGACAGTATTGTTTCGGGATGGATAAATGTATATGAAGGCGGGGAGGAAAGGTGAAAGATATAAAACACTATGAAATGCAAATGTTGTCAATTAAGAAAATGTTATGAGGAACCTATGTGAAGGATTTTTTTTTCCCCCATACTGGGATGGAACCTAGGAACTTGTACATGCTAGGCAAGCACTTTGCCACTGAGCTACAGGCCCAGCCCCATTTTGTTATTTTTACACACAATTGTTGGGACTTGGGCCAGTAACTTAGCTCAGTGGTGGCGCCGCCTGCCTCGCAAGCGCAAAGTCCCAAGTTCGATCCCCAGTACCAAAACAAAAAACAAAACGCTGGGACTTACAGAAAGCTTCAAAGATAGTACAGTTCCCATCTATCCCACACTGTGCCCCCTACTAAGACCTGAGTGAGGCACATTTGTCAGAATTACAGAACCAATTCTGATCCACTGTCAAGTGAAGCCCAGGCCTACTCAGGCTTCTTGACCTTTGCCCTGCCTTTTCTGTCCCAGGATCCTATCCAGAGAACCACATTTAGTCCTCTCTCCTTGGTTTCTCTTGGCTCTGCCAGTGTCTGTCTTTCCTTTTTTTAATGACCTTGACGGTTTCAGGTCTTCTGTACAATGCTCCTCATCTGGGGTCTGCCTGGAGTCCCCTTTCCCTTGGCTAGACTGGGGCCAAGTATTCTGGGGAGGAAGACCACATAGGTCAAGTGCCACCCTAATGGCATCCAATCAGCAGTACATACTGTCAATGTGATTTACTGTTGATGTTGAACTTCACCCCCTGGCTGATGCATTTGTCAGGTCTCTCGAAAATGACTACTTCCACTTCTCCATTCTGTACTCTGGAGGAGCCCCCATCCTGCACACCCCACACCTGCTCTTCCCATTACCACTTTCCAGTACAAATTCATTTATTTCATACTTTGGGGAAAATCCTCCACTGCCATATTTTATTGCTTGTGTTTTTAGCCTTTGCCACTGGGAGCTCTTCTCCTTGGCTCCTGTGTCCCTCGGGCACAGCCCCACTGGTGGAGAGCTTTGTGGCTTCACACCCTGAGCACATGAGCCCCACCCCAGCCCTCCAGGGTCAAGCAGGTTGCCCTGTTGGGCACTACTAGATGCTCTAGGTCCACCGTAGTTATTTCCCACCCCAGCCTTAGAATCATCTTAGTGCCATTTCTGAAAGTTTCCTGCGAGTCTGCAGTTATTTCAAATTTTTAAATATGTGAATCACTATACTTTTTTGGAAAGCTATCTGACACATATTAAAATCCTGGGATGTAGGCCACAAATATGAAAGCACAAACGAAGATGGGTCCTTAAGGTTTATGACAGCACTGCTGGTAGCAGAAAACAGAAATAAAACCCTGAAACCCAAGTAAATGCCTAGGAAGGGGCAGCTGAGTCAGCACCGACCCCTCAGAGCTTTGGGGAACAGCTGGAAAGCTAGCAACAATCACCAGGAGCTCCTCAGAGTGCAGAGGTAAAGCTCAGGCAACCTCAGTGCTGTCAGTGGGGGCAGGCAGTACCTGGAAGGAAAGTGACGCAGAAAGGAGGGAGTAACCTTTTTAAGCCACCACAGAAGTGTGAACTTAAGGCCCTGGGGCCTGGGGTGATTTTCACTCTTTTTTATACATTTGCATTTCTACACACACACACACACACACACACACACACACACACACACAC